AATAATAATAAAATAAATAATAAGATACAATATCGGAATAATAACTAATAAAATAATAAACTGTTCTATAACAGTATCGAATGAATAATCTTTGTCTATACTGCAGCAAGTTGAGGCACTTCGCCAGGAACTGTCTTAAGAAAAGCAGTGCCCGATACAGAATTAATGCAACTGCCACTATATCAGAGCATGTTTCAGGAAAAGAGGAGCCCCAACTGCAGTAGGAGACCTGCAGTTGGATTCAACTTATAGTTAGAACCCCAACCCAACAGCCACATATACTTTAATAAACACTTTTACTATACCAATGATCTTGCAACTCCCTAATCAAACTCAATTTTTTGTCAATGTACTAATTGACTCTGGAGCATCAGACTGTTTTCTGGATTCTACTTTAGCCCAAGAACACAACCTACTAGTTAATAAAAAAAATAAGCCACTATCAGTAGAGGTAATCAACGGTCGTGAAATTTCGTCTGGAGCGATTACACACGAAACAGAACCTTTGCTACTCTACTACTAAGAGCATTACAAATTAATAAAGTTCAACCTAATTTCATCACTACACCACCAAGTAATTCTAGGAATACCATGGCTAATTTTTCACAACTCTGTAATTAATTGGCATAAACATACCCTATATTTTCCAAATACTACTTGCGCACCACATCTTCTTCAACCAACCAAGAGGCCTTATCCCAAGGTTCATTGTGATATGGGGGAACGAATCTTTATAGCATGAATTTTTTACATTAGCCCTGTAAATATGAATTCATATAGGACCACAGCAACACTTCCGATTAAGTATCTAGACTTTGGTGATGTGTTTGACGAAAAGGAAGTAAGCAAACTGCCAGAATATAGACTCTACGATTGTGCGATCGATCTAATACCCAGGAAACAACCCCCATGGGGACCCATCTATGAGTTATCTGGACTAGAGCTAGAAACACTAAAGAAATATATTGAAGAACATTTAGACAAAGGTTATATCAGGCATTCTAAATCCCCTGCCGAAGCACCCATTCTATTTGTCAAAAAAAAGGATGGGTCTTTAAGACTGTGTGTGGATTATCGTGGACTAAATAAAGTTACTATAAAAAATAGATGCCCACTCCCTCTTATATCTGAGTTGCTGCACCGTTTGTCTTCGGCCCGAATATTTACCAAGATTGATTTAAGGGGTGCCTATAATTTAGTCAGAATTAAATTGGGAGATAAGTGGAAAACTGCTTTTCGCACCTATTATGACCACTTCGAATATCTGGTAATGCCATTTGGATTTACAAATACTCCCGCAGTGTTTCAGCACCTCATGAACGATGTGTTCTGGGATTTTTTAGATAGGTTTGTTGTGGTGTACCTAGACGACATTCTAATATATTCCTCCACTCCTAAAGAACATGATTCTCATATAAGATTAGTATTGGAATGACTTCGTAATTTTGGCCTGTACGCAAAGTTAGAAAAGTGTGAGTTTGATAAGAACCATGTCAAATTTTTGGGGTATTTAATCACCCCCAAGGGGTCAAAATGGATCAGAAAAAAGTGGAAAATTTACTCTCATGGCCAATTCCGACAACTCTTCGGGAAGCGCAACAGTTTCTAGGTTTCACAAACTATTACCACATTTTATCAACAACTATTCACAATTAGTCACTCCTATCACTAACCTGATCCGTAAATCCAATAAAAATTTTAAATGGCCTATGGAAGCGCATAAAGCCTTTGAATTGTTGAAAAAAGCATTTTCTACCGCCCCGATTTTAATTCATACAGACCCAATCAGACAGTTTTTCTTGGAAACTGACGCCTCAGATTATGCCCTAGGGGCTATCCTTTCTCAACTGCAAAATGATGGATATCTCTATCCTGTTGCTTATTATTCTCGCAAATTCTCTTCTGCAGAAATAAATTATGAGATACATGATAAAGAACTACTAGCTATCGTGACAGCCTTTAAGCAATGGAGGCACTATTTGGAAGGGACTCAACACAAAGTTACAGTATATTGTAATCACAAAAACCTTCAACATTTTACCTCAGCTCGAACACTTAATCAACGTCAGACCCGGTGGTCATTATTTCTTTCTAACTATGAGTTTGAAATTATGTTCCGTCCAGAAAAAAACCAAGGTAATGCAGACGCTTTATCTCGAAGACCAGATTATAGACCATCTGTTACTGAAGTTTCTTCTCAACAAACTGTGTTGTTAAAACCGGAAAGAATTCTCTTAAATGCAGTATCAGTAATGTCATTTGATCTTACCTTACAAGAACATGTCCGTTCGCAAATAAAAACAGACCCTCTAGTCCTGGATGTAATTAAGTACCTAAATTCTAGTAACTCAGTTAAAGAAGGCTTCTGCCTTGATTATCACAAATTTATATACATGGATGAGTTATTATACAGAGACAGGTTACTATACATACCAAGAACAGCAGAGAAACTTGAAATATTGCAAGCTCAGCATGACTCCAAGATGGCAGGACATTTTGGAGCTATGAAAACAGTTGAGTTAGTGACCAGGGACTATTGGTAACCCAACCTCCAATCTTTCATATGAAAATACGTTAAAACCTGTAATATTTGTGCTAGATCAAAGCTTTTGCGACATCGCCCACATGGTCTGTTATTACCATTGTCTATTCCTTCCCGTCAATGGCAATCCATATCTTTGGATTTTATAACAGACCTACCTCTATTATTAGGATTTGACTCGGTTTGGGTAGTAGTGGACTGACTATCAAAGATGGCCTACTTTATTGCTTGCTGTAAGAACATCACAGCAGAACAAACAGCTGAATTGGTGCTCCAGAAAGTGGTTTGCCTTCACAGCATACCAGATGAATTTATGTCAGACAGGGGCCCCCAATTTACTTCCCGGTTCTGGAAACACCTCTTCAGGCTTTTGGGAACCAAAGTTAGTCTATTATCAGCATATCACCTCCAGTCAGATAGACAAAGTGAGCGGGTCAACCAAGTGCTGGAACAATACTTAAGATGTACCGTAAATTATTATCAGGACAACTGGGCCAACCTTTTGCCCCTGGCAGAATTTTCTTACAATAATTCTATACACTCATCAACTAAAACTACCTCTTCTTTGCTAACTATGGATTTCATTCTCGCTTTGATATGCAACTACTTGGTGATCCAGCAGTACCTGCTGCAAAAAACAAGATAAC